CCACGCGCGACCAGGCGCGGGCGGTGGGGGCGGGGACTAAGCGCGTCCTCCCCCCCCACAGTGGCCCCTAGGCTGGTGGGTTGTGCAGGGTTAAGCTGGGGAGACTGTCCCCCTGCCTTGCTCGGCCCATCCCAGTGCTCTGTTGCCCTTGTCATCCAGCCCAGGCCTGGGCTCTGGGCTCTGGCTGCTCTTGCAGAGATCCCAGGCCATTCTTGGGACTCTGGTCATCTATCCCTGTGGCCATTCTGTTAAGCCTGTCCCTGGGCTTGGCATCACCCCGCTGGGGTTAATGAACACCCTCCCTCTGGTCCCCTGCACACAGCCCCTCACCCCAGCTACAAAGCGCATGTCAGTGGGCAGTTGTCCAGCCTCTCTTTTCTTGGACATTTGGGGCATGCCTGAAGCCTGCCTTGCCCACTCGACCCCAGCTCTGCATACTCACAAGCTGTGGGGGTGTGCTCCAGTCTGACCTGCTGCCAGCCCTGGGGAGAAAGGTTTTCAGGGCAAGGCAAAGGCCAGGACTTGCATGTGCTCTATTTGTAGATGGGGAAGGTGAGGCCCCAGACCTTCACTGGGTTAGTGGCACTTGACACAAGTAACTATAATCTCCTTCCTGTGTAATCATTATTGCCAGCAACCTTTGGCCTTGCCCAGAGGGTCCCAGAAGTCCTTCCTTCATGAAAGGACTATGGGAGCCAGTTATGCGGGGCTCATGCCTGTCATTCTAGCTACTCAGGAAGCTGATATGTGAGGATCATAGTTCCAAACCAGCTCAGGTAGGAAAGTCCATATGATTCTTATCTCCAATTAACCTCCCCCTGCTCTGCAAGCCCCCACCCCTAATAGACCTATAGCTCAAGTGGTAGAGAGCTAGCCTTGAACAGAAAAATCTAAGGAATAGGGCCCAGAATATGAGTTCAACCCCCAGTACTGGCACAGAAGGAGAAAGAAAGAGAGGGGGTGGGGAGGAAGAAGGGGAAGAAGGGAAAGAAGGAAGGAAGGAAGGAAGAAGGTAGACTGGCTAGGGTACTGCCTCTCTCCAGGCTCAGGACCCTTAGAAGGATATGGCCTTCTTTGCCTAGTCCAGGCAGTA